TTGAGAGATGGCAGGTGCTTGCGGTTGCCATCATTTAGCAATGGATCGACCATGGCTGCTCATGGTGATGGAAAATGGCACAGAGTAGCATACAACATGCCTTATAATCAAGTGCACATTATATGCTAATGTTTTAATTTAAAATCATCCTCTGCATGGGACAGCTTCACCGAGTCTCAATACAGTGTTTCTCAGGAGGGTCCTCCTATATTGGGTTGTTTGTCCGTTTCCATGAATGATTGGGATGTAGGAGTAAACCGGAGTACCTGGAAAAAACCCTATGCATATTAGGAGGTAGCATTAAAAGCTCCGCACGGATAGATTTGGCGTCTCACTGCACAAGTGTGCAGCACTCTGTATTCCCAAGCAGTCGTTTCTCCGAGCACTCGGCAGGTGCCCCCCTGCCTCGGCTTCCGTGACACGCCGAGTTTGGGCATGCCGAGGGCTGTTCGGCCTCTTTAGCCACGAGAATGTGACATCACGGAAGCAAACGTAAAAACCTGAAGCCTAGATTAAAAAAAAATCCCGAAACCGCCGTGGGCGTGCACGAATTAGAAGTGAAGTACAGTTGCCCACGCCAGCTTGCGCGTGGCCTCGTCTGTGGTGGCGTCTGATGAGGTCAGGACCTTGTGCACAGAAACCACACGGGTGGCAGGAAACTACACAAAGCACTCAACTTGCTGGAGAAAAAATAATGTACCGATTTTAAAATAAGAACTTAGCTCAACGGGAAACGCGTTGTATGCAGGGTTGCAATTTGTACTGTTAACAATGATGGATCGGATGGAATGCTTGCACAATGTTATTGTTTAATGAGTTACTCCTGCACATGGCCATTTGCGCAAGACACATGTGCTTCCTGCAATTTCAGGGCAGCTTGGCTAACGGAGAAGCAGACTCCAAGTTTCGATCCCGGCTGGGGTGCATGTATGTCAATATTATGCACGAGACTCAGGGCTTTTCACAATGATGAGCGCCTCACAGACCGTGCGGTGGGTTCTCACGTTGTGTTGTTTACCTGTTGTAAATCTCACGATCAGCCAGCCCTATTGCAGTGCAATGGCAGCTGCCTGTATGACAGTTAAATGTTTCTGTGCCTCGGTTTCTCGGGATTCCCTCAATTCCTTGGGGTTCTCCCTGTATATTGGGTTTCATGGCTTTCCCCACAAAGTTTTCCAGAAGGGGTCTCACTGATGATCCCTTTGGGGTTGACATGCAGGGGGTGTCACAGAGTCTATCGTCTCCCTGCCACGGTATAATAAGCACCACCTCCTCAGCAAAGTGTGGTGGCCAAGTCCAGAAAGGTTAAGCCTAATTCCAACAACAGAATGTGCGAGCTCCACTTGTGACGCAGAACCACCAATAAAAGTAAACACTGTGTGACGACCAAAGGGACAGGCAAACTTTTACTGTTTTACCCAGAGCGTGACATTTTGTTCTTCCTGTCACTGTTGTAAAACTGGAGGTGGCACGTGAAAACTACTGGACATATGTGAAAAAGAGCTTTATAGCTCATCAGATTCCTCCAGTGTAAATACATATTTTGATTCTTACCAGTTGTAGCCAAAGCCTTCGCGACAAGAGGTAGACTTGATGTGGTGTACTGGAGTGTGTGTGAATATTTCCTAGACAGACCCGGGTGAAACCAGGCCACGGGTTGTTTGGTGTAAACGCGCCCGCACTTTGGTGAAACAGAAACACGGTTCTGTCCTCGGATGTGGGTCGCTGGACAAGAAGGGTCGCGTGGAGGGGGCCTCTCCACGCACGGCTGGCTGGCAGGGACCCGGTGCGCGCCTTCCACGCCCGGGCGCGCGCGATCACAGAGCCGCCGGGCTGGCGAATGTGTCAGCGGTAACTTGACACCGCTTTCCTGCAAGTTTAACAACTAACGGTCGGCAGGCGTTGTTAATGCTCTTGGGCACTGCGCGTTTTTCTGTTTAGTTGTCCTCCCGCACCTCCGATTAGCATGTACGGTGCGAAAGAAGTTCAACATAATACGTGGGGGCTGGCTGTACACTCATGCGGGGTTCAGCAGCAGCTGCACAACGTTGTACGGAGTGACAGCAGCAGCAGCCTGCACGTAGCGTGTGTAGCAGCAGCATCAGGGTGACAGCAATGCAGCCAGTTCCCTGAGCTGCACTGAGGTGTGGTGAGGTGTATCCTGGGGTGGTGAGGTGTGATGAGGTGTGGCATAGTGTGTCCTGGTGTGGTGAGGTGTGGCATAGTGTGTCCTGGTGTGGTGAGGTGTGGCATAGTGTGTCCTGGTGTGGTGAGGTGTGGCATAGTGTGTCCTGGTGTGGTGAGGTGTGGCATAGTGTGTCCTGGTGTGGTGAGGTGTGGCATAGTGTGTCCTGGTGTGGTGAGGTGTGGCATAGTGTGTCCTGGTGTGGTGAGGTGTGGCATAGTGTGTCCTGGTGTGGTGAGGTGTGGCATAGTGTGTCCTGGTGTGGTGAGGTGTGGCATAGTGTGTCCTGGTGTGGTGAGGTGTGGCATAGTGTGTCCTGGTGTGGTGAGGTGTGGCATAGTGTGTCCTGGTGTGGTGAGGTGTGGCATAGTGTGTCCTGGTGTGGTGAGGTGTGGCATAGTGTGTCCTGGTGTGGTGAGGTGTGGCATAGTGTGTCCTGGTGTGGTGAGGTGTGGCATAGTGTGTCCTGGGGTGGTGAGGTGTGACGCGGTGTATCAAATTAAAAGTTCAAGTTATTTCTCATACAAATGAGCATTGAAAGGGTGCTCGCCTCCTGCTTACAGCCTTGGAGTCAGTGGTGGAAATTCCACGTTTCTATGACGGGTGTGAGACTAAAATGAAGAGGTTGCAATGGAGTAAATCGGGTTGGATGTGTGTCCGGCCATAAGGATGTATGTGGGTTTGGGGGCATACGGTAGCGTATTGCTGCGTACAGGTTGTTAATTCTGTGTACTGTATATAACAACCTGTGTACTGTATATACAGTACACAGGTTGCTAATCCTGTGTACTGTATATACAGTACACGGGTTGTTAATCCTGTGTACTGTATATACAGTACACGGGTTGTTACATCCTGTGTACTGTATATACAGTACATATATAATGGCAACTTGTGATGTGCCGCCACAGGGCACTCGCCCACAGATCGACTCAGAACACGGAAAGCCGGCACCAGATTTCATACAAAGCTCTGCGATCCTCTGTATATGGAGGCGTTATCCGCCGATTAATGAGTGTTTACGTGTGGTCGTAAACCGGAGCACCCCGAAGGCTCAGGCGAGGGTAACACTGCATGCCACAGAGACCCGACAGATGGAGACCACCACGGTCCCTGCACTGCCATCTCCTGGCCAGCCACGATCCTCGACGTCCATGGGGAAGGGACTTCCACAACATCTGTCTGATCCACCAACCCCATGGGGAAGGGACTTCCACAACGTCTGTCTGATCCACCAACCCCATGGGGAAGGGACTTCCACAACGTCTGTCTGATCCACCAACCCCATGAGGAAGGGACTTCCACAACGTCTGTCTGATCCACCAACCCCATGAGGAAGGGACTTCCACAACGTCTGTCTGATCCACCAACCCCATGGGGAAGGGACTTCCACAACGTCTGTCTGATCCACCAACCCCATGGAGAAGGGACTTCCACAACGTCTGTCTGATCCACCAACCCCATGAGGAAGGGACTTCCACAACGTCTGTCTGATCCACCAACCCCATGGGGAAGGGACTTCCACAACGTCTGTCTGATCCACCAACCCCATGGGGAAGGGACTTCCACAACGTCTGTCTGATCCACCAACCCCATGGGGAAGGGACTTCCACAACGTCTGTCTGATCCACCAACCCCATGGGGAAGGGACTTCCACAACGTCTGTCTGATCCACCAACCCCATGGGGAAAAGACTTCCACAACGTCTGTCTGATCCACCAACCCCTTGGGGAAGGGACTTCCACAACGTCTGTCTGATCCACCAACCCCATGGGGAAGGGACTTCCACAACGTCTGTCTGATCCACCAACCCCATGGGGAAGGGACTTCCACAACGTCTGTCTGATCCACCAACCCCATGAGGAAGGGACTTCCACAACGTCTGTCTGATCCACCAACCCCTTGGGGAAGGGACTTCCACAACGTCTGTCTGATCCACCAACCCCATGGGGAAGGGACTTCCACAACGTCTGTCTGATCCACCAACCCCATGGGGAAGGGACTTCCACAACGTCTGTCTGATCCACCAACCCCATGGGGAAGGGACTTCCACAACGTCTGTCTGATCCACCAACCCCATGGGGAAAGACTTCCACAACGTCTGTCTGATCCACCAACCCCTTGGGGAAGGGACTTCCACAACGTCTGTCTGATCCACCAACCCCATGGGGAAGGGACTTCCACAACGTCTGTCTGATCCACCAACCCCATGGGGAAGGGACTTCCACAACGTCTGTCTGATCCACCAACCCCATGAGGAAGGGACTTCCACAACGTCTGTCTGATCCACCAACCCCTTGGGGAAGGGACTTCCACAACGTCTGTCTGATCCACCAACCCCATGGGAAGGGACTTCAACAACGTCTGTCTGATCCACCAACCCCATGGGGAAGGGACTTCCACAACGTCTGTCTGATCCACCAACCCCATGGGGAAGGGACTTCCACAACGTCTGTCTGATCCACCAACCCCATGGGGAAGGGACTTCCACAACGTCTGTCTGATCCACCAACCCCTTGGCTCCACAGTGCTGCATTACAGGACAAGTGCGTAGCCAAACGCCGTCCATAGATATGGAAGTGTTGCATCCAAGCTGTATGCAGCCGTGTGGAGGTATATCGTGCCGTATGAGATGACGGCGGGGTGTACAGGTGTCTGTAGGTGTGTCGAGGTTTATGTTTTTCACATCCCATGTAGGTTTATCGAGGCGCATATAGGTCCATGTAGGTGTTGTGAGGCATACTCTGGTATACAGGTTCGTGTATGCATGTGCAACACGGTTCTGCCGAGGTGCGTGTGTGCCAGTGTCTCCTACTGCTTGAACATGCGCTCCATCTCCTTGATCTGCTTCCGCGAGAACTCCTTGAAGTCCGAGTAGGGGTTGAAGGCTCGCGCCGAGGGCCGCGCCGCCTCGCCCGTCCCCTCCTTCTCCTCCTCCTCGCCATCCTCCTCCTCCCGCTTGAGGCGCCGCTGCAGCTTTCCCGCCAGCTCGTCCGTGGCCATGGCGAGCGAGAGGCGGAGGCGGGACACGGAGACACGCGGCGGAGACACGGGGGACAGCAGACAGACAGCAGAGAGACAGCAGCAAGCAGTAGCGGTGGTGGCGGAGACGCGCGGTCTGAGACGCGAGCTGAGCCGCTGATGAGGGCGGGGAGGGCGAGGGGCGGAGGCGACGGGGGGGAGGGGGGAGGAGGAGGGGGGAGGCGCCTCGGGGCAACAGCGCGGCCACCCCCCCCTGCGTGGGTGTGAATCTGAGTGTTGTGTCTCAGTGTGTGTCGCCGTGTGTTGTGTCTCAGTGTGTGTCGCCGTGTGTTGTGTCTCACTGTGTGTCGCCGTGTGTGCTGTGTCTCAGTGTGTGTCGCCGTGTGCTGTGTCTCACTGTGTGTCAGTGTGCTGTGTCTCACTGTGTCTCAGTGTGTTGTGTCTCAGTGTGTTGTGTCTCAGTGTGTGTCGCCGTGTGTTGTGTCTCAGTGTGTTGTGTCTCACTGTGTGTCAGTGTGTTGTGTCTCACTGTGTGTCTCAGTGTGTTGTGTCTCACTGTGTGTCTCAGTGTGTTGTGTCTCACTGTGTGTCAGTGTGTTGTGTCTCAGTGTGTGTCAGTGTGCTGTGTCTCACTGTGTCTCAGTGTGTTGTGTCTCACTGTGTCTCAGTGTGTTGTGTCTCAGTGTGTCTCAGTGTGTTGTGTCTCAGTGTGTGTCAGTGTGCTGTGTCTCACTGTGTCTCAGTGTGTTGTGTCTCACTGTGTGTCAGTGTGTTGTGTCTCACTGTGTGTCAGTGTGTTGTGTCTCAGTGTGTGTCAGTGTGTTGTGTCTCACTGTGTCTCAGTGTGTTGTGTCTCACTGTGTCTCAGTGTGTTGTGTCTCACTGTGTCTCAGTGTGTTGTGTCTCACTGTGTCTCAGTGTGTTGTGTCTCACTGTGTCTCAGTGTGTTGTGTCTCAGTGTGTGTCTCACTGTGTGTGTCGCCGTGTGTTGTGTCTCAGTGTGTGTCACCGTGTGTTGTGTCTCACTGTGTCGCCGTGTGCTGTGTCTCAGTGTGTCTCAGTGTGTTGTGTGTCAGTGTGTGTGTCAGTGTGTGTCACCGTGTGCTGTGTCTCAGTGTGCTGTGTCTCAGTGTGCTGTCTCAGTGTGTGTGTCTCAGTGTGCTCTGTCTCAGTGTGCTGTCTCAGTGTGTGTCTCAGTGTGTGTCTCAGTGTGCTGTGTCGCAGTGTGTGTCGCTACGAAGCCGGCCACCCGAGTTCGATTCCCGCTCACGGCCAACACTGGTGACGATTATCTGAACCGGTCATGGGCCTCCCCTAGGTCGACTCAGCCTCAAATGAATACCTGGTGTAGCGGTGTGTAAATATCGCGACTGGAGAGACAAAGGCGGCTGGGCGTGGTGCTGGCCACCCACCCCCTCGTGTGCCGTTCTGGCCTTCATAGGTGCTCGCTAACAACACTTGCCCCTACAGTCTGTTAAGGCTTCACGGGGGATCTTTGTCTTTACATCTGTCTCATGTGTAACTGTGCGTGGATCTGTGTTTCATTGTGCGTTCCATTGTGTATCTATCAGGCTGTGCGTCGCATGGTATTTGTGTATAATCTGTCCGACTGTAATGTATCTGGCTGTGTGTTTATTATCTCTCTGGCTGGATGTCTATTTAGCTGGTTCACACACAGTCCAATGCACTAATAACAGGCAAGTGGCTCGCACAGTGTTTCACGTGGGCAGTTGTTTTTATTGGCAAACAATCCCTGCCACCACACGCGTAATGTTAACGGAATGCAAGGGAGCACATAGCTTCAACTCGCCACTGCAGTGCCACAGTTGTGGTGAAGGAGCGGGCACCACAACAACCGAGAATCCTTCTCACTCAAGTTTTCTTCCAGTGGTTCTACCCAGGAAACACGCAACGTTGGGCTAATGTTGCCATTTGGTTGGAACCCTTGAGAAAAGGTTGGGCTAACATTCCCCGTTTACTGGGATTGGCCTCAGCCTCCATGTTGCACAGCGACGGTCTTTGTGGGCAGCACTTGGCCATCCGGACCCCTCGGGGTTCAAGAGCTCAGGCAGCAGCTGCATCAGGACAGCTGCCACTGACGCCAGAGCGCCTGTAGCGAGACCCCGAGATAGACATTGGGCACAGCACGGATGGGAAGCAGCAGGAGCGAGGGGAGCGGTCCGGCGGGCTCGCGGCCGCGCTGCTATTGGTTGGAATGGGGTCACATGGGCCCTCGTCGTCCACGGCAACGCCGCTGTGATTAAAATGGCGGCAAGTTACCACGTGAGAACCGAGGTGTGCAACAAGGCTGGTACCACCTGGTCTGGTGTGTAGATAAAGTAGCAATCACCCACCCACTCACACACCCACCCACCATCTCACTTCATTGACCCACCAACTCACACACCCACCCACCCACTCACTGACACACCAACTCACTTTACTGACCCACCAAGTCACCCACCCACCAACTCATCCACCCACCAACTCACTTCATTGACCCAACAACTCACACACCCACCCAACAACTCGCTTCACTGACCCACCAACTCACACACCCACCCACCAACTCGCTTCACTGACCCACCAACTCACACACCCACCCACCCACTAACTCACTTCATTGACCCAACAACTCACACACCCACCAACTCACTTCATTGACCCACCAACTCACACACCACCCACCAACTCGCTTCACTGACCCACCAACTCACACACCCACCCACTATCTCACTTCATTGACCCAACAACTCACACACCCACCCACCAACTCACTTCATTGACCCACCAACTCACAAACCCACCCACCAACTCGCTTCACTGACCCACCAACTCACACACCCACCCACCAATTCGCTTCACTGACCCACCAACTCACACACCCACCCACCAACTCGCTTCACTAACCCACCAACTCACCCACCCACAAACTCGCTTCACTGACCCACCAACTCACCCACCCACCAACTCACTTCATTGACCCACCAACTCACATACCCACCCACCAACTCACTTCACTGACCCACCAACTCACACACCCACCCACCAATTCGCTTCACTGACCCACCAACTCACACACCCACCCACCACCTCGCTTCACTAACCCACCAACTCACCCACCCACAAACTCGCTTTACTGACCCACCAACTCACACACCCACCCACCAACTCACTTCACTAACCCACCAACTCACATACCCACCCACCAACTCACTTCACTGACCCACCCACTCGGGTTGCCACCTGTCGGGGTTTGTCCGAGACAGTCCGGGACTTTGGTATCCGTGTTCAGGTGGCAGAAATTGATCTGTGCCGAGATCTGGCACCGGTGTTCCCGTGTTGAATTCTCACATCAGTAAACTGCACGGTTTGGATAATAGACGTAGGCTGAACAAGAAATGTCGATTTGGATAAAAAGTGTCGACCCTAATTCAGAGAATTATAAATCACAACAACCGCTTTGTCTTAGTCGAGGCAAGCTACTTCTGTGCCTCTGTTGCACGCGATTATAAATAATCAGCTCCGTTGGACTTTGGCCCAATATTTCCCACACACAGAACTTATTTAAACGGCAGTCTTTGGAACGGGCTGGGCCCTCTCTGCGATTCCCCGTAGCATGGCTAATGCCACCATTGCATTGGATACGTTTGGAAGGCGTTTTGCAGCAAAGATGAACGGTGGTTCAGTAATGGAGTGCAACACCATTTGAAGCGATCGGCGCGTCCACGGACAATGATGCACAGACAACACGGAGGCTGAGAGCGTGCATCTCCCCGAGGCAGTGTGGGAGTGTATGGCCGGCAATTATGTTATCATTGGGCATGGAATGTTCTGAAACAGAAGGTTTTGGTGAGAGATGGGGATTGGTAAGAGGAGAGAAACCGAAGGCGCGGCCACAGGAAGGTATCACGGGGTAAGGTGCAAATAACGGCAGTTGAGGAGTTCGGGCATCAGCGGAGTGGAGTGTGGGTGACGGTGGGTGTGGGAGTGTGGGTGTGTGGATGACGGTGGGTGTGGGAGTGTGTGGGTGTGTGGGTAACAGTGGGTGTGGGAGTGTGTGGGTGTGTGGGTGACGGTGGGAGTGTGGGTATGGGTGTGTGGGTGACGGTGGGTGTGTGGGTGACGGTGGGTGTGGGAGTGTGGGTGTGGGAGTGTGGGTGACGGTAGGTGGGGGAGTGTGTGGGTGTGTGGGTAACAGTGGGTGTGGGAGTGTGTGGGTGTGTGGGTGACGGTGGGTGTGTGGGTGACGGTGGGTGTGTGGGTGACGGTGGGTGTGGGAGTGTGGGTATGGGTGTGTGGGTGACGGTGGGTGTGGGAGTGTGGATGACGGTGGGTGTGGGAGTGTGTGGCTGTGTGGGTGACGCTGGGTGTGTGGGTGACGGTGGGTGTGTGGGTAACGGTGGGTGTGGGAGTGTGGGAGTGTGGGTGTGTGGGTGTGGGAGTGTGGGTGACGGTAGGTGTGGGAGTGTGTGGGAGTGTGTGGGGGTGTGGGTGACGGTGGGTGTGTGGGCGTGGGGGTGTGGGTGACGGTGGGTGTGGGAGTGTGTGGGTGTGTGGGTGACGGTGGGTGTGTGGGTGACGGTGGGTGTGGGTGTGGGAGTGTGGGGGTGTGGGTGACGGTGGGTGTGGGAGTGTGTGGGCGCTCGCTAACAGCACTTGCCCCTACAGTCTGTTAAGGCTATATGGGGGATCTTTGATCTTTGTGTGTGGGTGACGGTGGGTGTGTGGGTGTGGGGGGGTGGGTGACGGTGGGTGTGGGAGTGTGTGGGTGTGTGGGTGACGGGTGTGGGAGTGTGGGTGTGGGAGTGTGGGTGACGGTGGGTGTGGGAGTGAGGGGGTGAGGGTGGGTGTGGGAGTGTGGGTGTGTGGGTTTGGGAGTGTGAGTGTGTGGGTGACGGTGGGAGTGTGGGTGTGTGGGTGAGGGTGTGGGAGTGTGAGTGTGTGCGTGACGGTGGGTGTGTGGGTGTGGGAGTGTGGGAGTATGGGTGAGGGTGGGTGTGGGAGTGTGGGTGTGGGAGTGTGAGTGTGTGGGTGACGGTGGGAGTGTGGGTGAGGGTAGGTGTGGGAGTGTGGGTGTGTGGGTGAGGGTGGGTGTGGGAGTGTGGGGGGTGTGGGAGTGTGAGTGTGTGCGTGACGGTGGGTGTGGGAGTGTGGGAGTGTGGGTGTGTGGGTGACGGTGGGTGTGGGAGTGTGGGTGTGGAAGTGTGTGTGCGTGACGGTGGGTGTAGGTGTGTGGGTGTGGGTGTGTGGGTGACGGTGGTGCTGTGAAGCCGCGTGTGAGCAATACGCAGCGAGCTGCTGGTTGACGCACATCTGCTGGTTGTCGCTAGCATCACAATCTGTGGCGCGTGTTGCACATGACGCGTGTTGCACATGACGCGTGTTGCACATGACGCGTGTTGCACATGACGCGTGTTGCACATGACGCGTGTTGCACATGACGCGTGTTGCACATGACGCGTGTTGCACATGACGCGTGTTGCACATGACGCGTGTTGCACATGACGCGTGTTGCACATGACGCGTGTTGCACATGACGCGTGTTGCACATGACGCGTGTTGCACATGACGCGTGTTGCACATGACGCGTGTTGCACATGACGCGTGTTGCACGAGTGCTCTCATTGCCCCACCCCCCACCCGAGGGCTGAGGTCTGCGTGGGCTGTGGGGGTGTGAAGCGAGGGTTGTTGTGTATGGGGAGCAGTGGCGCAATAGTTATGGAACTGCGCTACGAACCCGGCGACCCGAGACCGATAATTATTAACGTTCACCACCAATAACTGTGGCGAATATCTAAACTCGGTCTCGGGCCTCCCCTAGGTCGAATCAGCCTTCACGAGTACCTGATGCAGTGTGTAAACATCAGCACTGGGGATACAAATGAGGCCGGGTGTGATGTTGCCCCCCTGTGGACCGTGCCGGCCTTTGTACGTGCTCGCTGACAGCACTTCCCTGAAAACGTGGGTCACGCCTGCAGGTGGGGGATCTTTGTTGCGAATGGAATGGCCTGGTGTGTGTGTCAGCCCGGGTGAGTCAGCGTAGGGAATCACGGGTTGCGTTGCCTACTGTACTGATGGGGTGAGCTGATATATGGACGTCGTCAGCCTAGGCTGTGTCACAATAGCTGGCACTGGCTGGTATAAGGTGCGCATTTACACGCACATAGGCTCGCGGTTCGAACCGGGCAGGCTGCCCTAGTTATCACTGTGGGGTGTATAAACCGTAAAGTACTACGCGCCGTCTGCTCCACTCGCAGTGGACGTTATGGGAAGAAGAGTGGGCCATTGCTTGCCCGCATCACGGTCCAAATTGGCCAACTTTGAAAAACTACGCTGGAAATTAATTGGGATTCACACACAGGAGCGACACCGCCCTCCGCTGTGAAATTATGTCATGGTGGCCCTTGCGCCATGAGAACGATCGCGCCTATAGCCAGGGCTTAGCCAGTCGCCACGGCCTCCCGTGTCCCCTGCTCCTCGAGTCGCGTGTTGACCCGGCCCTGAATGGTTTCCTGTATTGGGCTGCCTGCAGTGGCTACGCGTGAGCCAGCTGGCAGCAGCTGACTGACCCTCGATGTCTGAGGTTGAGACGTGTGTCCTTCATCTTAATGATCAAAACGTTTGTTTAAAGCAACCACAATTTCTGTTTGTAGTAGTGGTTAGCGCACTGTGCTTCTCGTTCACGGCCAACACCAGTGACGATTGTCTTAACCGGTCTTGGGCCCCCCCTGGGGTTACTCAGCCTCAAATGAGTATGTGGTGCTGCGTGTAAACATCGTTACTAGGGAGACAGAGGCGGTCGGGCGCCGTGCCGGCCTTCATCGGTGCTCGCTAACAGCACTTGCCCCAAAAGACTGTTAAAGCTTTACGGCAAATCTTTGTCTTTGTCACATGATGTGGTGGTTGTACACGATATGGGGTGAGACCAAAAAGTCAGCCTGCTAATGGCAACCTTATAGAGACTGCAGATGCAAGCCGGGCTCGTGGAAAGGCACTCAACACTCTGAGAGTAAGCCTCTTGGCGATGTCCGCGTCCTGTTTGCGTGCAGCGCCTCCAGCCTGCGCTGCGAGCGCCCTGCTCGTAGTGCCATCACCAGGCTGTGGGAATTGGGCCCTGGAACTGCTGCAGATTCCATTTCTTCTGCACAGAACAGCAACTTTTATTTTTCCTGCATGGTGATCTACAGAAATAGTTGGAGGTTTGACAGTTAGTAGTCTATGGGTCCAAAATATATCCGCAAATAATACACCTTCCCATATCTGTCCCCCCACATAAAAATATGCACTTATTTACACATTATCCGTCAGCCACATGGCCTTCTGGGAGTGCATCATTGTGGCAGCATTGCTTCAACGCAAGCACAACTCTGCATCGGTCTTGACATTGAGTGTCTCATCAGCAGTCAGGCGTGCTTGAGTCAATGCTGGTGAACTGCCAGATATTTATAGACAAAGACCCTCTATGGGCTTATAAAGGTTGGGAACCTTTGTTTCAACATGTGACAACATCATAACAATGTCAACTTGAAATGTGGTTGAGTATTCGCCTACTCTCAAAGAGAGGGGAATGAGAGGACGACTCAGAGGTACAAGGAGGAACTACAGACGACTGGGAAGACAGGAGCCACGCAGTGAGCCGAAGACATTAATTACCCAAGTTCTGCAGTCCTCTATGTATTAAGATATTTAGACCAATTAATGAGTGTGTATGTATGGGAGTAAACCGGCGCACCTGAAAAAAAATCCCACGCGTGCGAAAGGGCAACACTCTATCCCGTCCAGGCGGAAAAGCTGGAGCCCATTTTGGTATCCGCATCTCCTGGCGAGCAAGGGTATGGCTCCTCCTTGATGCCCACGGGAAGGAAGTTTCACAACAACATCGCGCAGTGATTCACCAACCCTCGCTACTGCCTCCACAGTGCTGGGTTACAGACTGGCAACGTGCGTAGCCGCTACCACCACCGCTCGGCGGGGATGGAGGTTGAGGATTAGCTGCAGGATGGAGAGGAATGTAGTTTGGGCTGAGAGCGGTCCAGGTGGGAAGCAAGTCGAGCAGCATTCCTCGTCTCTCGAAACTTAGCGATCAGCACGAGTTCGGGTGCAGGGAGCCTAGCCCAGTGGATGAGGGGTGGGAATGGAACCGAATTACCGCCGAATAACCATTCATCATCATTGCAGAGGACGTGAATTCGTTTATGATTATACACAGCCACGCACACAATGTCTCAACACGGTCGATATGATTTACGTGCCACTCGGTACTTCAGTATTCACAATAATTCCGTGCTCTTTTTCATACGCGGCTTCATATTTCATTGTTAGGTTTAAGGCTTTCAAATTAAATGTCATAAAAAACTCAAGACAATTCGTCAGTTACATTGTGGCCTTAAGAGGAAAAATTTTGAATAGAAATATATTCTGTAACGGGCGACGATTCGGGAAATGACCCTTATAGCACATATATGTGGTATGATATGTCATTGCCCGAAACGTCAACTATTACTGTATTTATACAGTATATATTTCAAGGCCACAATGGTATTGACGAACGCGTCGAGTTGTTGTTCATTGTCCCAGGGCTGCGCGAGGCAGATCCGATGGTGCCGCTGTCACCAACCAGCCGATAGTCCGCGCACGTGCGCGGCGCACATCGCAACCCGTCGCTTGGTGAGCGCCGCTCCGCGTCCAGGAGCCGCGGCGGCTTCCTCCTCCGCGTGACTCCCAGCCCAGCCGCAGAGCCAGGCACCCTGGGGCAGTGCTGCTGCTCAAAGCTGAGCCAGGGCATAAATACAGCGGCTGCGGCGCCGTGATCGCTCGTTGCGTCTCAAAAACGCCGTTGCCAATCTCTGCACCAGCGCGCTGCACACAGCGCGCCGCACGAAAGAACACGATTATCCCATGCACGCATTCATTCATTCGCTCAGTCATTCATTCACCACGGCCCTGATTCGCTCGCCGAGCTGGGCTGCTGCTCTCCCGGGGCAACTCTTCACCTTATTTGGTAAAGGATGCGGCGGCGTCACGGGCTGAACGCTACCATACATGGCGATGAATTTTTGAAGAAGGAATTTCTGGTGGTGCTGCTGCTGCCCCTGGGCGATGGGGTATGGGGCAGGGGGAGAGAGAAGGGGAGGAGAAAGGGCAGAGGAGGAGGAAGGGAGAGACCTCGTGTGATTCCTCTCTGCGGGGATTCTCGGCCAGCAGTAGCCCGACGGTCATCATTAGGATCGACATCAATACGCAGACAATCTGCCTCTTTCCCATATCTGTCACTTTACATAATAAATACAACATTATTTTTAGGCAGCCGCTTCCGTGAGTACATTAATCCAGCAGCGTTGATTCAACACAATGCAACATCTGGACCGGTTTCTGATGTGATGCGTAAACTGTTTTTTAAAATTATTTTTGTATGTGGAGGGATAGAAATGGGAAAGAGGCGTCGAGTCAGCTTGGTAATTATGTCGCTGGCGCTTAGGGAGATGATGGCCTCGTGAATAATGATGATGCTCGATGTAAAATTAACCGGTTTCACTTGCACCGGCAGATGGCATTCACACATTCATAATGGCATCAGGGTAAACCGTGACATTTAGGTTACACGCTTAAAGCCACGGTGTGCTTCTTACGGGAAGTAATAATGTGAACAGCTGTGACCTCGCTCTGTCCCAAACGGCCCTCTGCAGATGAAGAGCGAGCAAATGAAATGATCACCGTATCATGGTACAGTATCAGGGTACAGTATCACTAAACTCAATCTGATTATTAAAAAACACCCAGTTACTGAGCGCGGGACCAAAGGTTCCAAAAATAGGTCAAGCGACTAGCAACAAAAAGCACCAGTAGTAATACCGTACGAGGTTAATAGAGGTTTTTTTGGGTTAGATCGCGTAAATATAGACCCAGAAACCTCTATTATGGATGACATTGATCACGAAAGCCTACTACGCGTTATACCGTACGAGGTTACTTCGGGTGTGCATCGTCTCAGGAACTTCGAGAGCACGGGGAGCGCGCGCGCGTGTCGAGTCTCCGTGCCACGGACGCAGCAGCTGCGCGCTCCTCGCACCCCGAGGGGTGGGGAGGGGGCACCACGGGGGATGCGGATGGAGGAGGGATGGGCGTCGGGGCTGTGTGCACGTGGGTGGCAAGGAGCGATGGTGATGGGAGGATCAACATTGTCTCAAGTTCTCAACAGACGTGTTGACTGGACGGTGTATACACCACCTGGGATATCCCTTGAGGTGGAACATCCCGTTTGCAAGGGAGTCAGTTGACAGATACAAAGACAGAGCACAAACCTACTGACACCTAATGACATGCATGCGTACAAACATATGATAAATATCTCCCTTCACATACTTTTAGGGTAAGTGCTGTTAGCAAGTACCTATGAAAGCCGGATGCGGTCTGGCCGGCTGGGTTTTTCAGTCAGTCTTTGCTGGGAACACCCTAGCTGCGACTGTAGGCGCATCAGTCATGGTGTGCGCCTACACCAGTCATGGAATGGGATCATACGTAGGTGCATATGGTGTTGGCAAATGCAACAGCAATGGCCTTTTGCCCCTTAGAACATGTGCTGTGCATGACCTATTGATCACAAACACTTTCTTCCATCTACCAAACTGCAATAAAACAACACGGATGCATCCACAGTCAAAACAGTTGCACTCGATTGACTATGTCATTGTCAGGATGAGAGAAAGGCATGATGTCCACGAAGCCATTCAGATATACAAACACAGACATAACTTCAACTGAGAGGATGGTTTCAAATTAAGCAACCATTGGAAAGACGTTTTAAATCATACCAAACGTCAACTAATTTCTAACAGCAATTTCAAGTAATGGTATACCAAGCATATTCCTTCCGAACTTTCTATTAAACCCTTTTTTCTACTCTTCCCTCACAGCACATTCTTGCCGATCTTTAATTTTTCCGTTTCTATTGCACACACACAGTGACCCATCCTCCGCTCCCTCTACACAACAAAAACATGCTAATCCCCCAGTTACATGCTAATTTTCCGACTTTAACACCCTGCTGTTTTAACACTTTAACACAGCTATTTTTGATATGTAAACTCCTTTGTCAAGGCGCCCTGCTCCTCCCACCGAGCTTAAAAGACGCTGCGAATCTTAGCAGCGGTCATTGAAGTGATGTCGCCCTGACAGTTCTGTTACTTCACCTGAAGAAGGCCACTTGTGTTGTGAACGAAACGTCGTGATTTTTTGTTGTTTTATTTTTTACCTACGTGACTGTACCGAATAGAACCAGAGTACGACTCAACATCTCTCGGCTGAAACAGGAGAGCGTTCAGCAGAGTTTTGCTGAAGCCCTAGACCATTGCTTGGAGTCCCGAAGCCTTGACTCTTAAGATGCTGAGGCAGATTGGACAGCTCTCAGAAGTGTGCTGCACTCAACAGCCCTTGAAACAGTTGGTGCTGCCAAACGCAAATAATGCAGAGATTCAGGCACTCTTTGATGAGAAACATCGCCTGCACAGAGCCTACCTGAATGATAGCCCAGAGTCCAAGAAAACTGCATTTCTTAACATCTGCAGGACTGTCCAGGCCAAGTTTAGAGATATGAAGGTTGCTTGGCTCAGTCAGAAAGCAGAGGAGATACAATCACATGCCGACAGCAACAACACAAAGCGTTTCTACGATGCACTCGAGTCACACAACCCTCAGGGACCTCACCACTCCTGAGTGCAGATGGAACCACACTGTTCACAGAGAAAGACATAAATCCTTGCCAGATGGGCCGAACACTTCAACTCAGTCCTCAATCAGCTTTCATCCATAAATGCAGACGGGATCAATAGGCTGCCTCAAGTTGAAATGAACCTGCCACTTGCAGCTCCGGAAGCTGACGCCATAACAGCAGAAGTCTACAAGGCGGGAGGGCCGCGTTTGGTTGAGAACCTAACCGACCTCTTCCAATCATTATGGAGACAAGAAGCCATCACTCAGGTGTTCAAAGATGCCTGGATTATCCACCTCTACAAGAGGAAGGGCAATCACCAAGCCTGTGACAATCTCAAAGGTACATTCTTGCTGTCAATTGCGGGAAAATCTTTGCAAGAATTATCCGGAATCGTCAAACAGAACACCTAGACCAAGGTCAGCTGCCCGAGAGTCAGTGTGGCTTCAGAACAAAACTGTGGAATCACTGACATGGTGTTTGCAGCCCGCCAACTCCAAGAACAATACCTCACCTTTGTCGACCTGAGAAAGGATTTTGACACCGTCAGCCGTGAGCGAGGGCCTCTGGAAGATCATAGCAAAGTTTTGATGCCCAGACAAATGTATCACCATGATACGGCAGTTGCATGATGGCATGGAGGCCAGTGTGCAAGATCACCAAGAGTCCTCTGAAAAGTTTTGAGTCATAAATGGAGTGAAGCAAGGCTGTGTTCTAGCACCAACCCTCTTCAGCATGATGTTCTCCGCCATGCTGCTAGATGCCTTTCCAAACGACCACACTGGGATCCGCTTCATCTGCCGCTTTGACGGAGGGCTGTTCAACCTGCGGAGGATGCAAGCCACACTAAAGGTGGAGGAGCTGAATATTTCGCGACCTTTTGTTTGCAGATGACTGCGCACTGGCTGCTGGCTCGCATGCCGACCTCCAGGTCCTCATGGACCAGTTCTCAACTGCCTGCGACAACTTCGGCTTCAATCAGTACAAAGAAGACTGAAGTTACTGCATATACCAACCTGCCCTCGGTAATCCTTACGTGGACACAACCATCTCTGTGAAAGGTCAGAAACTGTCAGCTGTAGACAAGTTCACTTACCTTGGTAGCACTCTGTCACGTGCTGTTCACATTGATGATGAAATCAACATCAGGATTGCCAAGGCTAGTGCCGCCTTTGGCCGTCTGCGAGATTCAGTGTAGGAAAGGACAGGCATCAAGCTGGCCACCAAACCTAAGGTTTACCAGGCAGTCACTGTCAACTCTTACTTATGGCTGCGATACCTGGACAGTATACCAACACCATATCAGGAAACTCAATCACTTTCACTTGAACTGTGTGAATCCCAGACATGAAGTCCTAAGCCGTGCTAACATGCTGAGCATTCCCACACACCTTATGAAAGCACAGCTCAGATGGGCGGGCCACGTGACCAGCATGCCTGTCACTTGTCTCCCGAAGCAGATATTATTTGGAGAGCTGAAGAATGGGAAGCGAGCACATGGTGGGTCGAAGAAACGCTTCGAAGACACCCTGATGGCCTTCCTCAAGAGCTTTAACATCGATAAAAAAGTCAAGGGAAAGCCTTTCTGGAGATCGTCCGACCTGGCGAAGTCTCATCTGGGATGGCACTACGACCTCTGAACCCAGCAGGACCAAACATGTCATGGTGAGGGGACAACAGTGCAAGACCCATACCAAGAGACCGGTCCCCAAGCAGGCTGCTACCAACATATCATGTCCAGTGTGCCACAGAGTGTTCCGGGCTCAGATTGGACTGTTCAGCCATCTGTGCTCTCACCGTACCCCAGACTCATCCCAACGAAGCGTGTCATGGTCATCATCAACCTTTGATGGACGAACAAGTAAAGCATGACAGCCGGCACGGCACACGATGGGGTGGGTGGCCACCAACACGCCCGGCCGCCTTTATCTTCCAAGTCGCGACGTTTACACATCGCACCAGGTACTCATTTTAGGCTGAGTTGACCTACAGGAGGCGCATGACTGGTTCAGATAATCGTCCCCGGTGTTAGCCGTCAGCGGGAATCGAACTCGGGTGGCTGGGTTTGCAGCGCTGCGCGCTAACACAGCTTCCAATACAGTGGGAACAAACATACACCGACTTAGGCAAATTACATCCACAGAGTGAATATCTCACGCAGCCACGCGCATGGATAACTCTACAGATAACGAGGTGCGGAATGCACTCAAGCTGCACCAGCTGTGCCAGACGCACACAGAGCAGCGGGCAGCATCAGGCGTGCAGACTCAGGCCACGACGAGCCACGTGGCCTTGCTCGTGTGGAATGGCGAGGTGGGCAAGCGATGGTGATGGAGCGCCCTCGGCGGACGTGAGACTGAGAGGTCAGACGACTCGGCACTGGAA